GGGGGGGGGGGGGGGGGGGGGGCTAGGGGGGCAAATTGCCCCGGGCCCCGAGGTGCTGGGGGGCCCCTGAAAATTTTTTGTTGGGTTCCAGTGTTTTTTTGTGTGTTAAATATTTTCGCGCAAAGGACAAGATATCTGTTTTCTTCGGTTAAGTACCAAAATTTGGCATGAAAAATGAGATAAAGTCCCTGGCAAGCAATTGTAACATACTCGTCCGGAAAATTTTTGACCCCTAAAATGGTACACTGACCGAAAATTTTTTGGCGACGGGGGGAGAGGAGGTTGTCATCCAAAAAAAATTTTTCCGGAAAAAAATTTTAGATAGGGGGCCCCCAAAAAAAATTTGCCCCGGGCCCCCACCAACCTCTCGGCGGCCCTGAAGATGGCAATAATGGCCAAATCATGCGGCTAAATATTTAAAATCAAGGGCGAGAAAGAAACCAAATGCTAAGGAGTGTCATTTCTTAATAGAACTCACGACAGCAGAAAGGTCTCTCAATATACCCACAATAAGGACATTGCCTTCCACGTGACTAAGCAGTCCTTATCAAAAATGTTATTTAACTGATTGAAATATATATTGGGGTTTCAAGGTAACTGGTTTCAAAGTAGTTAACTGATTTACGGATTTCAATCGGTAGATTGTTCAAACCATAGTTGCACAATGCGATTAAAAGAAGTAGTCTCGAAACAATGATGTACGACAAAAATTAACTAGTACTGAATATGGGTCCAAACTTTCGGTATAGCTCCTGGCTCTGCCACTTAAGGTTTGGATGTAATTTTCGAGCTGCAGATTAAATGTATCATTTCAATATTTGAAGACAATTTATACATCGCGACACTCAGAGAAACCAAGGCGAACTTCTGCTGTGATTGGCATCAGGATATTTGCTTCAATTGAAAATTAAACGGGTAGATCGCTTCAGTCTGTATGCTTTTCAATAATTTCACGTCAGTTTTGCATGACTGAAGAATTGAGAAATTACAAGCGTTACTTTGGTTGGAGCGCAACAGTTACACGTCCAGTAATCGTCTGTTAGAAGGTGGAATGTAGAAACTGCCTAAGTGCCCATATGAGAAACCAGAGAGTCATATTGGCTTTAGCAACAACAGAAAAAAATATGAGTGTTCCAGGTATTGTTAACTACGACCACGAAATCTTTGTATGAACGAACCGGAACGGCAGGGGATGGGGCAATGGTGTAGGGATTAACGGTGGGGGAGTGCGTCGTTTTCCCCATACTCTTAAATTTTACATTTGTCGCGGTTAAATATTACTCAAATCATTTTCACATTGAAGTTAAATCACGATGAAGAGCAGTACAATTCTCTGGATTACAAACCACTCGGCAATATCCGTTTTGTAGCTAGGGACGTCAGTCAGATGAAAGAGTCTTCCATGAGGCAACGAGTCAAAGGCTTTACTGAAGTCTAGGTAAGTGACATCAAACGACGTACCCAAGTTACGAACACCTGATACTAACTGCTTAACACAACAAAATACTATATTTGCCCAAATGTAACCACTCGTTGAAAAGTAAGCAAGGTAGCCGCAGAAACAGTTCGGGTCAGAAAAACATCATACTGACAAGCTCTACCTTTTCACTTTACTGACGAAATATATATCTGTCCCAAATGTCGGCCCCAAATTGTCGTCTTGTATTGCTTATTTCCATCTTTTTGGTCCGACGATGTTATTTACAACTTACGAGGTTCGGTTCGAAGGCATAAATTAGCAAAAATATTGATTTCCAAGAATCCTAGTCGTTTTCAACGTTGTTATCTTAACCTAAATAGTTTTCAAGTGGATCATTCCTGAACGCAGTGTTTTGTCCTTGAAATTCAGAAATTTTGAGGTTAAAATTTTCCAGTCTATTTTCATTAATTTAAAGGCGCGTGAAGTAAAATTCAAGTCAAACATTTTTGTTTCATGGTCTGGCAGCACTTTCTTCGTACGTAGGTACTCCAATTTTAGTAATGTTCAACAATATTAGTAAAAATTAGATCCAAGCAAGTAGGTATTCATGCTGGTGGGAGGGTAGATTAATTGGTAATTGTGGTTATTAATTATTAAGTCTATGCTTAATTGTAATCACTAGCATGATAGCATCACAAACGCCAGGCCAGGTTCTCCAAACAGAATCAATTTCTTGTGATAACTTCTATTGTTTGAGGTCGATAGACTACAGAGACAAGAACTTTTCAAGAGCTGTTTGTGTTTATCTCAATAGCGAACAGTTCAACGTTGTTGTTCTTCACAAAAGCAAGTGGTTTGCATCGTAAATTACTATAAGCTGCTCAAAAACGCCGCCAGTGTGAAATTAGGATTATCCTGGGATTATCCCAGAAAAATGTTCTAGAGGTATCATTACAGTGGACAGAACGGTATTGTTCGAAGGCAAAACAGCTCGATTCACCTTTAATGGCATTACAATTAGGCGGTTGATTTTGTTACAAAATCTTTTTTGGTCTGCGAAAGAATACTTCAGTAAACTTTCAGATGATTTATCTAAACCAGTTTTCCATTCGACGTTTATCTCATGCAAACTTCAAAGCTGCTGTCATATCTGACCATTGATGAAGTAACCGAATTGGTGACGCTTATGTATAAAAAAAATAAACTGGTCATTATTTCTGGGGCAGTGTTCCAAAAGCTAGTCAATGTTATTTCCAAAAAAGGAATTGACGTCCAAACATTGTTGAGCATTCTCTCACTCCATGTGTCCTTCTGCTGTTTTAATAATGTCTTCCATTGTTTTTACGCTACGCGAGTCCAACCATTCTCGCATCTCGATTGCTGTATTAGCATATTTCGCGGCTTCTTTGCAATCAGGTTTCCAGGCACGATACGTTCCTGCTAACACATAATACACACTGGCTCTACAAGGGGAGTGCTTCTGAGCGAGTTTGTCAGCTATGTCACGTGCTTCGTTTAATATTTCCACCGATTCATCAAAGCGACGAAGAAAAGACAAGCATAACCCATCATTCTTGAGCAAGTATACAAAAGCCTCGTTGGAATCAAGTTGTAGTTTCTTGCTCAGTTTTATGGCATCGGAATAATACCCAATTGCCTCTTCGTTCTTCCGCCAGAGTAAGTATAAGTCTCCTAAGAATTTATGACATTTACACGTTAATTCATGATTGCCCAACAACTCTTGAGATGTCGACAAAGCTTGGTTGTAAAATGACTTTGCACAGTTCATGTAATCCTCGTACTTTCCTTTATCTGAATGAAATACTTTACTTGCACGTTTCTTGTTCAAATGTGCACGTTGGATTAAAATAAGTGCCTCGTCAGCATTCTCCATTGGGCTTCGATCGTTGTTTTCAGGTAAAGGCGTAAGATTATCTTCTAGAAGATCAGGATATGGTGTATTTGTTGGTATGTTAGAATAATATCGGGCATAAAAACAGTGACAATACCGATATACGGACCTATCTTCTTTCAGCACCGCATCATTTTTGTCAAACGCTACCTTGATAGCGTCCATCCTGCCGATGTATTCAGTAGATTTCCATGCAGTTCTACGACCTTCTTGATCTGCTACTAGACACTGAAATGTGATCTGAATGGCTGGTTGCTCTTTATCTTCCGCTAGCTTTATACAGGATTTAAAGAAACTCCTTAAAACAGTTAGTGGAAGAATATCCCAGCCAAAGTCGTAAAAGAATCTGGATGAAGACTTGTAAATATCACTATTTTTCATGGACTCGATGATGTTTGGATTAAGATCTTTTGCTTGATCTTGGCTGCACATTTTGAACGTTTCCTCAACATTGTGGCTGTCCTTCTTCAATTTTTCTCGGGCATCGGTAAATCCATCTTTGGTATACGAATCTATGGTCCACAAATGGCACATCTTTAGAAAATGTTTCACCATCAATCCTTGTGCTATTGCCTTTTCATCTTGAAGTTGGTCATGATCGACCAGATACCGTC